AACTTTCATATATATGTCATTGTCAAGTGAACCATATAGGTAGACAGTTACTACATCCATAAGGCGCATATCGAGCCCTTGTGACACGGTCAAACTAATTAAGAATCTAAAAGTTATGGTATCCATTACGAGAGAATATGTTTCTTCATAATCAATTCCCGATCTTTGGGAGAAATCTTGAGCTACTAGTCGGGCTTTGTATCTTGTAATTTCATTATTCTCATTTCTCTTTCGTACAAAAATCCATTTGTATCCAATAGGGATTACATTTTCAGGCGTTCGAACTACTAGTCCAAACACTTTTCGTTTTTTCAAAGAATTCAATTCTGCCTGTATGACTTCTTTCCATTTTGGCCGATCATTTCTATTTCGACAGTCATTAACAGACTGTGGTTCAGGATCCTCATTTTGCATAATATCAATAGCCATGTTAAAGGTGAAAATATTGTCTATAACAATATTATTCCGTTCTCATAATTTATGAGATATCATATAATTTATTGATATCTCATTATTTTCGGACACCTCTGGTTCTTCAGGAACTGTACATTCAATATTTGATTGATCAATCTTTTCTAAAGTGATTTCTTCTGAAATTTTTGGTTGGTTTTTCTCTTGTATTCTTTTTTTTCGAGGTATAGAATCTTTTGAACCAACTGGTCAACCACGCTTCTGGCGTATTTGAGATTCATTTGCCACAGCAGATTGTCTTGCAGGGACATTAATTTTTGCTAGAATATTTTCTGCTGGAATATATGACTTTGTCACTTTTCTCGTGTCAACAAATACATCAAGTAGTTGAATTGCAACTCTTTGCAAATGAATGATTTTTTCAACCTCTTGTTCACATTGATTGCTGTGGGGATCAAAGTGAGATAGAGTTGTCTCATTCCAAGAAATTCTATCTTATTTTTCAGGGTGTAGTTTTTCTCCTCCCAAATTTGGGAAAGTCATTTCATCAAAATAACAATCTGCAAAACGTGCAGTAAATAAGTCACTCGTTAAAGATTCAAGATATCTAATAATAGATGGTGAATCAAAACCCACATAAATCCCAAGTTTTCGTTGGAGACCCATTTTAATACGTTATGGGGATGAAATAGGAACTTGGAAAGCACAACTAAAAACCCGTAAGTAAAAAATATCAGGTTCATGACCAAATGCAAGTTGCAAAGGTGAATATTGATGATAGGCAGTTGGTCTTATACGAACCAATGATGCAGCATGTAATATGGCATGACCCCAAACAGAAGTTGGGAGTTTTGTTTTCATAAGTCATTATGGTCTAGCAATAAGTTGTAGACGTTTAATAAACGATTCCGCTAAATCATTTTGTGTATGAACATGTGCAACTGAATGTTCAATTTCAATCCCAATTGACATACAATAATCATCAAATGTTTGTGATCTAAATTCACCAGCATTGTCAAGACGAATAGTCTTGATTGAGTAATCGAGGAATTGTGCTCGCAATTTTATGATTTGAGCAAGTAGTCTAGCAAATGCTACATTCCTAGTTGAAAGTAGGCAAACATGTGACCATCTTGTAAAAGAATCAATTAATACCATAAAGTAACGAAATGGTCCACATGGCGGGTGTATTGGCCCACATATATCTCCATGTATTCTTTTCAAGAAAGTTAGAGATTCAATATTGACCTTTGTAGTTGAAGGTTTAATGACTAACTTGTCTTGCGAACAAGCTACACATATATAATCTTTAGATAAAAGAATCTTCTGGTTCTTTAAAGGATGTCCATGTGAGTTGTTTATTATTCGACGCATCATTATGGCTCATGGATGTCCAAATCGATCATGCCAAAGTATAAAACTTTTTGAATCAACGAACTTCTGGTTCGTAATATTATTTGATTCGACCATTTTTATAAATGTAAAATACATGCTAGACGGGAGTGTATGAAATTTTTCTTTTATCTATTTTTTGCCGGATACAAAAGAAGTGATGCAAAGATATTCAACATTATTTTCTTGTATCGTCTCAATGTGATATTCATTGCATCAAATATCTTTAAAACTAAGCAAATTTCTTCTGAATTTGCTAGAATAAAGTGCATCGTTAATATATAATTTTGTATTATTTGGTAAAATAATACAAGCTCTTCTAGAGTTTTCAACGATATTCGACGCACCCGATATTGTGTTAACATTATTTTCAGCTAATATTAAGTCCAAAAAGTATTTTTTTTATGTGTAGTTGCACTATAAATTAAGTAGCCGTCTTGACTATCCATCATCAACCTATAAATATAAAAAAGGAAACAATTTAAAAAAAAACTTGAATTTAGATTTAAAGAAATAAACATTACTTAATATCATGAAAAAAACGGTGCATAATAGAGTTTTATTTTTTTTATTTTTGTGCGGAAAAGTAAAAACATATTTCAGACTGAATTTTTAAAATGAAAGAAATACTAGTAAATTAATCTATATCTTCTATCACACCACCCCAACCAAATGGTCAATATTTTCATTTGGACCAGTAAAGAAATCGGAGACATCCAAATGAGTCACATCAATTGGACCATCATAATCAGCAAAATTAGTCTCCAATTTTTCTTTTCCCTTAATTGATCTCTGGTAGAGATCCACAAGATGTTTTGAGGTACGACACGTACGAGCCCAATGCCCTTTCATTCCACATCTGAAGCAACTTTCTTCATGCTCCTTTTTAGATTTGTCACTCTCGTCTGCTTTGTGCCTTTTGAATTTATTGCCTTGTTGTTGATAACTTTGTTGATTATTTCTTCCATGATTTATTCCACGTACATGTCCGTGTCCGTGTCCACGTCCACGTCCACGTCCACGTCCATGTCCACGTCCACGTCCGCGTCCACGTCCACGTCCACGTCCTTGTCTTGATATTGTATTTATTTCAGACAATGTAGTACCATTTGCTTCAGGCAATGGTACAGAACCAGTTGGATGTAATCCATGATTTTTCATCAACAATTCATTATTTTTTTCAGCAACTAGTAGGCAAGATATAAGTTCTGAGTACTTTTTGAAGCCATGCTCACAATATTGCTGCTGCAAGAGCACATTCGAGACATGAAAGGTGGAGAAAGTTTTTTCCAGTATATCTTCATCGGTGATTTTTTCTCCACACAAAGTCAACTTTGAACATATTCTGAACAATTCAGAATTGTACTCACTAACCGTTTTGAAGTCTTGCAAATGAAGGTGCATCCACTCATAACGGGCTTTGGGGATGACTATAGTCCTCTGATGATCAAATCTTTCAGTTAACTTTTTTCAAAGAACTTGTGGATCTTTCTCAGTGAAATATTCAATTTTTAATCCATCATAAAGATGGTGACGAAGGAAAATGAGTGCTTTTGCAAGATCCTGCAGGGATTCATTGTCTCCTTCTTTTATTGTCTCTCCCAAACCCTTTAAGACGATATGTATATCAGCATCCAGTATCCATGACAAATAATTTTTATCAGATATATCAAGTGCAGCAAACTCACGTTTCGTAATGTTTGCCATTTGTTTAACTTCTAAGAGTTTCGTGCTGATAACGTGTTATAAAATGAGAGGAAAAGAAAATAGAGAAAACTCAGAGAGAATAGAGAAAACTCAATAAATTTTTTGTATGTATTATTGAAAACCAAAGCCCTATATTTATAGGTAAGAATCAGGGATACAATGGTAATAATTTATAGGATTACAGGGGTATAAATGTCATTCACCAATAAACTTTAATGGACTTTCCATTTACAACATGATTAAAATTGAAATTAACCTACTTTTTAGCAAATAAGCTTACCAAACAAGCACTTAGCTAGGTATTGTTTAACAATTTTTTTATAAAAGAAATTAAAAAATGTAGTGAAAAAGTTGATAAAAATTTTGACTTTTTAAAATAGTTATTGATTTTGATATCAACCTTTTAGCAACTTTTAAAGGTTTGTCAAACAAAAACTTAAGAGCCTATGCGATAAAGCTTTCTACAAATTTTTAAAATATTTTGATAAAAATGGAAGAAATGTACCGTTAAAAAATTAATAATATTTTTTATAGCATAAAATATATTATTAAAATTAAAGTTGATCAATTAAAAATTAATAAATATTAGCAAAGTTTTATCAAACAAGCACTTAAACTCTGTTTGAGCCTCATTATTTATGGAATAAATTTTGTAATAGCAAATTTTTTAGAGAATGTGTAGTTAAAAGTAAAGATTTTTTTTTGAATTTACGTATAAATTATTTTATTGAGAGAATGTATAATTGAAAATGAATTTGAAAAAAAATAAATTTTTAGAGATGAGGTTAGAGGTGTCAGATTGGCTCGTTAGCTCGAGTGGCAGGTGGCTTTCCCACTTGAGTCGGTACCACTCGCGATTTGATTCTATCGAGCCAAGGCTTAGGCCGAGCTTATTTTGAGGCATTGTCCCGAGCCAGCCCTTCTTGCTTGTCGAGCCACATTCAGCCGGTGAAGAATGAAGCCTTAAAAAAAAATAAAAAAATTAAAAACTTAACAGGCAGCTACAAGCTGCTAGCTACTTGTTATTTGTGCCTTTATGGATCTTGTGCTTGTGGCTATAGGCAAATTATAAAATAAAAAAAAATAAAATCGTGAGCTAGCTCGGCTCGATTCTATTAGGACCTGAGCCATAAGCTCGATCGATCCTAGATTTTTTGGTCGAGCAAAAGCTAAACTTGGCTCGACTTGGACAAAAAAAGCTCGAACTATTTTTACTTGAACCGAACTCAAGCCTCAAGTTCTGACTTATGAGCCGACTCAACTCATTGAGAACTCTCAATGAGGTTCAAACATGAACTTCTTTTAGAAGTCGAAGAACAAATTATTATAGAGTGTTGGGCTTAGGCGGTGTGCTCGGTCACGCTAGATGTCACCTCCTATCGAGTGGCTGGCTGGTGACCGGTTTCCATGTCTAAACCACAGAGTAGGGACTTTGGGTCGGGTTCCTCCTTTTTACTTAGACAGTCCAGATCAGTTCTTAAACAAACCATCTTTGTATCTTAGCCGTTGATGAAATTAGGTTTTCCATTCTTCTCCCACCCTTTAAACCTCGCATGCGCCACGGCCGTCTCTTGGATTTTCTCTCAGAGCTGAAGCTAGGGTTTACCTGGAATACACTCTAACCTTTTAATCGCTCTACTGAGGTACACTTTTCAATCAAATGGTTCTCATTATTTACTGTTACTTCCTTCTGGGTTCTAAATAGTTTCTCGTGAATCTCTTAAAATTCAATCAAGTCTAATTCAGGAAGCTTTTCAGCTGACGCCTCTCTTTTTTTCTTGTTTTCGATTAATTTAGTTAGCTTTTAACCTGTTAGCATTTAATCCATTGTTTTCATCTGGGTTCTTTTTGGATTCTATTAACTCTCTTAAAACTAATTAAATATCATGTATGGGCTTTATTAGACTTTTTTCTTCTATATATGGCTTTTGAATCAATTTAATTTATTTTTTAGCCGATCTCAATTGTATTGGAATATTTTTGTGGCGGTGTTGCAATTTTAGCTGTTATTTGAGGAACAATTTGTATGTTCTGTTGTTACTTTTTATAGTTAACAGATTTATTAGGTATTGGGTATTGAATTGTAGAAAATAAAGTTGTAATCCTTTGAAAAGAAATTAATGGCGATTGAGGTCTTATGTTTGATTTTTTAATGTTTGTTATGGGAAAAATTGGTCTGAAAGGATTAGTTTTGCATGCAAACTTGTTTCTTATGCTCGCAAGTTATTAACAAGAATTTTGTAGGTTTCATTTATAAATTTTGAGTAAAATAGTGCCTGAACGTAATCGTTTTCTATAAGCAACATGGAAGTCTTATTTAATTTTTGAGCTAAAGCTTTTAAATTTGATGAAAGTGGACATTCTTTTTAACCATCATCTGATTAGAACAAGCAATTTAGTTACAAGCACGTTTTGGTTTTTAATAACTAGCTCTAAATAAAATTAAAATCAAAGCTGTTTTTGAGAAAAATAATCAAAAAATATATATGGGATGATGTTTTATGTTTCCTTAACTGCACATATTATTTGATTACTTTAATCTGTTAAACTAGATCAGAAGAACTTAGGGCTCTATTTGTCAATTCATGCCATTTGTTTACATATCAGATCTTTCAACATGTACACTGCATTGCAAAAAATTCACAAGGACAAGGATTCTGAGCCCACTGAGTTTGAGGAGACTGTTGCTCAGGTCATAACCCCATTGATGCTACTGGATTCGTCTTTGTTATTCAGCCATTAAAGTCCTACATTTGCAATTTGTGATGATTTCAATTCTTGATGCGTAATGTAGGCTCTGTTCGACTTGGAAAGCACAAATCAGGAGATCAAGAGTGACTTGAAAGATCTCTACATCAACTCTGCCTTGTAATAGTTATCTTGATTAACATGTACTCGTTTCCTAATCACAATTTTGTAGAACAATGATAATCTTCACATTTTTATATTCTGCAGGCAAATTGATGTTTCTGGAAACAAGAAGGCCGTAGTGATCCATGTTCCTTACCGGCTTAGGAAAGCTTTCCGCAAGATTCATCCTAGGCTAGTGAGAGAGCTTGAGAAGAAGTTCAGCGGAAAGGTAATATTAATACTAGGATATTATGTTTAGAATTTGGAACATTTATCCTAGCAAGATTTATAACGGAGTTCCCTATAATTTTGTACTGCAAAAATCTGACAATAAAATGCCATCTTGCAAGATTTTGTTGTTATTTCTTCATTCTTTAAATTTTTATGATTTATCAGTGAACTGCAATTTTTTTACTCTGTTAGTGACACCTTTTTACTCAGCTTCCTCCTTATAAATTCCATACTAGGTTTTCTATAAATTAATCTTTTAACCCTTTCAATAAAGCTGATCTATATTTATATTAAGGGAAGTTGCTTTAGATGTCTTTGCTCTGGGGTCCGGCCTTGAGATGGAGGCTGCACATTGTTTTTTTTTTTTTGGTATTCCTTTTTAGGAGTGAGCCTTTTACTTCAACATTGTGTCAAGGTTTTAAGATCTTTAACACTGTTTTTTTAAGGGCAATTGTCAACGCACCTCTGGCTCTTATTAGGAAAGCGGAGCAGTTGGCAATGTATAAGATAGTAGAACTGCTTTAAACTGAGAAAATTGAGATAGTATTCATTTGACAATTTCGCTATTTGTACATCCGGGGTTGACATCCCTCTTACAGGAGGGGGGCTCACAATTATTTTATTACGTGTGGGTCCCCCTCTTGTGTGTGTGTGTGTGTGGGGGGGGGGGGGTTCATCCTGGTGACACCCCGGATGTGCAAATAGCAAAGCTCTTTATTTAATGTCAGCCTACTTCTGGCTCTTATTAGGAAGTAGGAGCAGGTTGCAATATATAAGATCTCGCAGAACTGCTTTAACCTGAGAAAAGTGAGATTGTATTTTCGTTTCATGTATTATATTTTCACAGATATTATTTATTGAAGCAGTGATATCTATTTGCTTGTCAAGTGTTTTAAAAGCTCTCTACATCCATTCATATTATTCGCTTGTGGTTTTTTAACAGGAAGTCGTTCTTATTGCTACCCGAAGGATATTACGGCCGCCAAAGAAGGGTTCTGCAGTTCAGAGGCCTCGTACCCGTACCCTTACAGCTGTCCATGAGGCTATGCTTGAGGATATAGTTTATCCCGCTGAAATAGTTGGGAAACGTGTCAGATACAGACTTGATGGATCAAAGATAATGAAGGTAACCAGTTCATTTTTTTCTCCTTTTTGATTTTTTCTTTAGCTAAGACTCCTATGCAAATGTGTTGTAATAATCCTCTGCACATGGCAGGTTTTCTTGGATCCCAAAGCAAAGAACGATGCTGAAACTAAGCTGGAGACTTTTGCTGGAGTCTACAGAAAGCTTTCAGGGAAAGATGTTGTCTTCGAATTTCCAATCACCGAGGCCTGAAATGCCTAGCGTCTTTCTTTCAGTGTTTTATTAATTAAAATCACTGTATTTTTGCATTTAGTATATGACTTTTGAAGTTTTGACCGGCAATCAAGTTTTATTCAAGACGTTTGTTGAATGCTCTCAGTTTCTGCAAAGCCATTTGGTTGTGTGTTTTGTTAAAGTTGCATCTCTTGCAAGCCTTCCAAGAACTTGCCCCACTTTTTTCTTATTTTAATTATCTTGTCTTTTCATCAGTTATTCTATTCCTGCCATTGGTAATAACTGAAATTTTTCGAAATATTTAATATTTAATGCTATTTAATTCCCAAAAGAATGCACTACTTGAAAAGCTCTAGTATCGTCTGATTGATACAAGTGCCCAATGAAATGGGGGTTGTTGACCAAAAGAACGTTGATGTCTTTGTTGAAGGGGGCGAACGACCTAGGTATCGAGTGAATTGATGATTTGAAATTGGCCATTTGTATTTTTGTTGAACACGGAAAGAGACTTACCTAGAACCCTTCATGTCTATATCAGAAAGAACCTGAAGAATGCAAGTCATAAAGGTTCATCTTTTGTGTACAGCAGTCTTTGATAGACTTGTGCCACTTCAAATCAACATTTCATCTATTTTCCCAGAAAGTAACTTCCCGATTCACTCATGATCGTCTAACCAACCTACCTATTATGAGGCAGCTTGGAACATACATGCATACAAGGATTCTGAAATGAACATATTAGAGATAGGTTTCCACTTTCCAGTTCGGATGTTCATCTGGCAACTCCAGATGGGATTCTGAAATGAACATATTAGAGATTGGTTTCCACTTTCCAGTTCAGATGTTCATCTGGCAACTCCAGATGCATTGGAGTTGAGGCTTTCCTATGGAGAAAAAAGAAAAAACACTAGAAAACTAAAAAGTTAAATAATCTCTTCTTAATAAAGTGGGACGACCATCAAAAAAATACTGGAGAAAGGAGACAACCTCTTAATGGATCTCATAATTTTTCTTATTTATTAAACTGAATAATATCAACCTTAGTTAGAATAAAGGGAAGAGTGAATAAATTGAAAATAACCAAAACCTTTCTCTAGTAAATATTTCATAATCAAATTTTATTTCCGCTTCCAACTAGAAATCGCGGATGGGAGGTTTTGCGTGTTGTCACACCTGTCCTATCCACCTGGGCCAGTGGGCCACTCATCTGACCCACGTGGCATTCCTGCCGAGGTGGCCCACATTGCCGAGGTGGGTTACATCCGAACTGCTTCTAACCGAGGCTCCGTGGCCCGAGGCGTGGAAGTTCTTGGTTGCAGCTGAGGTCCTCGAATGGACGAAGCCCCGGAGTTGATGCGCGAGCCTCAACCACAAGGAAACATCCTCCATGGTCACTTCTCCCAAGAGATCGCATGCATAGATCTTATTCGAATGATTGATGGAATGTCTGTCACAAGCATAAAGGTCAAGTCTTGTCACTAGCGTGGAGGCCCTGCACAAGCAATAAATGCGCCGTAAGCTAGCAAGTCAAATCCCATGCCTAAGAACAGATGTTTAAACTAAGGAGATGAGGCCACGTGCCACTTCATCCGAGGGCCCCCATTTCATATGTATCACTATAAATACCCCCATTGTATAACGTCAAAGGGTAATGCAAGAATCAATACTAAAGACGACATTTTACTCAACTCTCTCCCATTTTACTGGCAATACACAAATCGAGTTTATACATTTCTGCACATATCTACGAGCACCGGTTGGTAATCATTGTACAATCGGATAATGAACAACCCGCCGGATCCCGAACGTCACCGTCCCGCGTCGTTGGGCTACTCCCACGCCCCTTTGAACCGCTCGTTTAGACCGTCCACGTGTCTTAGCGTGTTGGACATTCGCCCACGCAAGCGCGGGTGGGACCGACATCTGTTGGCGCACTTTTTGGGGTCAACAGATTGGCGCTGTCTGTGGGAACCATACCATAACCACGAGCAACCTTGTGGTAAAAGCTTGCTGAAAAAACATTTGGGCAACCCCCCTTGAAAAAGGATTTGTTCTTGAAAGAGAACATGAGGAACCCCTACCACTTGGATAAATCTAAGTTGAATAAAGGAAAAATGAGTTCTAACGAAGATACTCCCCCAAGGAGGGTAAGAGAAAATACAAATGTGCCTCTCCAGCCTGCTGTCCTAGCAGCTCGACAGAGGCTCCACCACCACCAAAGGAGAGGTGGGATGTGTGCGACGGCACAACTATCAAGAGAAATGGCTACTATGGCAGCCAACATGAGGGATATAGCCAACCAAAACTTGGCCATGAGGGAGCTCATGGCCCATATGCAAGGCCAAGGAGGTTTCCCCATTCCTCCATATGCCCCCCATGGGCACTATCAGCAAGAGGACGAGGTCCAAAGTCATAGGGCTGCCTCGCCAGACTATGGCCGAGGTGAAAGTCCATTCGAAAGGGAAGTGGGAGTTGACATTTCCTCCAATTATGCATCTGGCCGACCCTCCGAGGTTCAAATGAGCCATGATAACTTTCCACCTCCGTATGAGGCAGACCCAAGACAGAGGAGAGCAGGAAGTGTTTTTGACAGAATCAGCCCTGCCGAACCAAGGCCCAGTCAGCAGCAGGCTCAGCAGCCTTGGACGAGGCCACAGCCTCCACCTCCGATGCCCCAACAGCCGGAGAGAAGGCATGAAAATGCCCCACGTGCTGTCCCGCCTAGAAGTAGGCCGCAAAGGAGGGAGGAAGAAGCTAGGAACCGGCTAGGACCCTCTCACCAACAACCTAGGTACGAGGCTGAGGATTACGATTCTGATGAGCAGCAGAGGTCCTGTGACTTAGACGATGATGATGAGAACCTGCCATTCTCAAGAGAACTAAGAGATGCCCAAGTCCCGAGCTACTATGTCATGCCGAAAATACCAAAGTATGACGGGAGAGGTGACCCAGAAAAGCACCTCAACGCTTACAAAACTCACATGAGCCTGAGGGGCGTCACCCCAGCTGTGAAGTGCAGAGCATTCCATTTAACCCTCAGTGGAGCAGCTGAAATCTGGTATAGTAGGCTACCATCTGGGAGCATCCGAAGCTGGCCCGAGTTCAAAACTACCTTCTTGAAGAGGTTTGCAGTGAGCAAGGAAGGAGAGGCTCCTATTCAGCGTCTTCAAGACATGAGACAGGCGCATGGCGAGTCCTTGAAAAGCTTCCTATCTCGCTTCACCGACGAGATGACCTACTGTATACAAGTCACCGACAGGAAAGCACTATCAGCATTGAGAGGAGGATTGAACATGAACACCCTATTCTGGAGGGATGCGCAGAATCAAGACCCAACCACCTATGACGCCCTACTAGAGATGATGAGAAGAGAGATAATCAATGAAGAATTGATTGAACATAGGAACAGGGCAAGCAGGGGCCTCCCACCTCCACAGAGACAGCGAGGTAGGGGGCCGACCTCCCACCTGATGGACTACCAGATGAACCGATCTGGAAATGAGAACTCTGGCCAAGCCCTGGCCACCACAACTTTGAACGCGGTACCAACCTTGGCGTATGAGGATGTCAACCCAACCGCTGACCCACATCAGATACAGGCCCAGCAAGGACCCCGTAGAGGGGGAGGCCGAGGTCGAGGTCGGGGTTTTCCACCTAGAAATAGGTCCAATCCGAACCTCCCTGGATACGGTTTGCACCATAGGTCCTACAGGCACGACACCGCGGATTGCAGAGACTATGGACACTGCTCGCGGCAGGAACCCGCCAGGGAAAGACATAACTCGCCCCAGGCCAACAGGTCCCCGCCTAGGCAAGACAACCGACATGGGCGTGAGGCAGCCGCTCCTCGTCAAAGGGATGTCTCCCCAAGACGAAGAGAGCAAGACACGGAGAGGCCCGGGGAAGGGCGTAGACACCGAAGAAACAGGCAAGCTCAAGATGAGGCCCCTATCCACGAGATAGATACCATATTTGGAGGCCCTTATGTTGGCGGCGAAACACGGAACGCCAAAAGAAATTATGCTAGGGAGGCCAAGCACCCCCCTCTGACAAGCTACATTGTGGATATAGCTCTCGAAGAAACCAAGTACCACCCATTATCTTCACCCAGGAAGACGCGGAAGGAGTTCATTACCCCCACTGCGATGCGCTGGTGGTGAGAGCTGTCATAGCCCGAAATGGGCTCAAACAAATGCTAGTCGACAACAGCAGCTCCGTCAACATCTTGTTCGGGTCCGCCTTTGACAAGATGCTATTGGACCACCAGTTGACACCCACCACTACTCCATTGTACGGATTTACCGAAGATAGCATCACTCCGAGGGGAAAGATAACACTAGTAGTAGAGATGGGAGAATCTCCCCAAACTACGATAAACTTTATGGAGTTCCTCGTAGTTGACAGCCGGTCGGCTTACCACGGAGTCTTGGGTAGACCGGCCCTAAAGGAATTGGGAGCAGTCACCTCTATCCACCACCTATGCATGAAATTTCCAACGGAAAACGGGGTGGCAACGGTGAAGGGCGACCAGAGAGGTTCGCGAGAGTGCTATCTGAGCTCCATTAAGAAGGTAGAGCCCCGGGACATCCACGTGATCATGGCTGATGTGGTCATGGCGGATGTCCCAGGTGACGCTCCCGCCGGCCAGGAAGATGTTGATATGATTGACGCACCACCCCTTCAGGAGGCGTTAATCGTTGATGAACATGACCCTCAAGCGTCCCCTGTAGAGGAACTTGAGAGCTTCTCAGCCGACCCCCGAGATCCATCAAAGATGTTGAAGATAGGCAGGGGCTTATCCAACATTTTGAGAGAAAAGATCAAGGAATTCCTAGGCAAGAACCTCGACGTCTTCGCCTGGAGACATGAGGATATGGTGGGCATAGACCCTAAGGTCAGCTGCCACCACTTAAAAATCGATCCTAATTTCTCCCCGCATAGACAAAAAAGGAGAGCCCTCAATCCGGAGAGGTATGAGGCCCTAAAGGAAGAAGTTCAGAAGCTCATCCAAAATGGCTTCATCAGGGAGGCCACTTATCCGAAATGGGTCTCCAACCCGGTCTTGGTTAAGAAACACAATGGAAAATGGAGATTATGCATCGACTTTACCAACCTTAATAGAGCTTGCCTGAAAGATAGCTTTCCGCTTCCAAGAATTGACCAATTGGTGGACTCCACGGCTGGGCACGAGTTGTTGAGCTTCATGGATGCATACTCCGGCTACAACCAGATCCCCATGCACCCGACCGATGAGGAGCACACCTTTTTCATCACGGATCGATGCCTCTATTGCTATAGAATGATGCCCTTCGGGTTGAAGAATGTCGGAGCAACTTACCAAAGACTCGTGAACAAAATGTTTACCGACCTCATTGGCAAGACAATAGAGGTCTACGTGGATGATATGCTAGTAAAAAGCCTAGAAGCAGAGAACCACATAGTGCACCTCAACGACACCTTCCAACTACTGAGAAGGTACATGATGAGGCTCAACCCCTTGAAATGTGCCTTTGGGGTGGCTTCCGGCAAGTTCTTAGGGTACATGGTCAACCAGTGGGGAATTAAAGCAAATCCCGAGAAGATTGAGGCTCTGTGCCAGATGAGGTCCCCTCAAAAGCCAAAGGAGGTACAAAGCTTAACTGGACGAGTGGCAGCACTTAGTCGTTTCGTCTCCAAGGCCACTGACAAGTGCCTCCCATTTTTCAAAGTGCTCAAGGTCGGGAAGAAATTCCAATGGACTGAGGAATGTGAAGAGGCCTTCCGAGGATTGAAAAGGCACTTGGGGCAGGCCTCCCTCCTCTCCAAGCTGAAGCCTGACGACATCTTGCAACTATATCTCGCCGTCTCCAATGATGCCATCAGTTCGGTTTCGATTCGAGAAGAAGGGCCCACCCAACTTCCCGTCTACTATACGAGTAAAGCACTCTTATCGCCGGAGACCCGATATCCTGATATGGAGAAGCTTGCTTTGGCCTTAATCACGGCCTCTAGGAAATTGAGACCCTACTTCCAAGCTCATACCATCCATGTACTTACAAATTTTCCCCTGAGGCAAGTACTCCAGAAGCCCGATGCCTCGGGAAGATTGTTGAAATGGGCAGTGGAATTAAGTGAATTTGACCTTGTGTTTAAAGCAAGGGCGGCCATCAAAGGGCAAGCGTTAGCAGACTTTGTTGCTGAATTCGCCAACCTACCCGAGGTGGATGAAATCATGGAGCCCGTCGAACCCCCCATGTGGAGTCTCTTCGTAGATGGCTCGGCTGGGGATGTCGGCTCAGGTGCCGGGGTTGTCCTCATCAGCCCCGAGGGTCACAAACTCACCTCGACCGTGAGGTTCGGGTTCAAAACTACCAACAATGTTGCAGAGTATGAAGCACTTCTTGCAGGCCTCAGACTGGCCAAGGAAATGCATGTAAAGAAGCTACTCGTCAATAGTGACTCCCAGCTGGTTGTTAGCCAAGTCAATGGTAGTTTCTCAGCCAGAGACAAAACAATGGCCTCCTATATGAAAATGGTGGTGAGCCTCATCCCATCCTTTGAAAAGTTCGAGTTAATCCAGATTCCCCGCATTGAAAATGCTCATGCGGACGCACTCTCGAAGCTGGCTAGTAGCAAGGACTCAGAGCTACTCGCTGTAGTGCCTATCGAGCATCTCCTACTGCCTTCTACCAAGGCCCCTAATGTCATGTGGGTCGGTGGAATTCTCACCTGGATGCAACCAATTATAGCATATCTGAAAGACCAGGTGCTACCCACCGACAAAAATGAGGCTTACAAGCTGAGAAGGAGGTCAGCCCATTTCCTCTTCATCGATGACATTCTTTACAAGAGAAGTTTCTCCTCTCCACTCTTACGGTGTGTCGGAGGAGAAGAGGCTACATACATACTAAGAGAAGTCCACGAGAGAGTGTGCGGCAACCACTCTGGAAGCCTATCTCTGGCACAAAAAATATTGAGGCAGGGATATTACTGGCCTACCCTGAAACGGGATGCACTCAAATTTGTGCGAAGATGTGACAAGTGCCAACGATTCTCTCCCGTTCAAAGACGACCATCACAGGATCTGACTGTGGTCTCCAGCCCCTGGCCTTTCTCAAAGTTGGGGGTGGACCTCATAGGCCCTCTACCAAAGGGTAGAGGAGGTGCAAGTTTTGCAATAGTGGCCATTGATTACTTCACGAAGTGGGTCGAAGCTGAACCACTGGCAAAAATCATAGAAGCAAACACCTCCAAGTTTCTATGGAAGAATATCATTTGTCGGTTCGGAATTCCCTACTCGATCGTCTCAGACAATGGCAGGCAATTCGATAACAAGAAGGTTAGAGAACTGTGTGAAAATCTTGGCATAAAGAAGCACTTCTCTACACCTCACCACCCACAAGCCAATGGCCAGGTGGAAGCCGTAAACAAGACAATCAAGCACGTCCTGAAAAGGAAGCTTGATGTGTCCAAGGGAGCTTGGGTTGATGAGCTGCCCCAAGCACTTTGGACAATCCGAACCACCACCAGAACACCAACCGGGGAGACCCCTTTCCTCATGGCTTTTGGGACTGAGGCGATGAGCCCCGTGGAGGTCGGACTCCCATCTCCACGGCGTCTGCACTTTAGTGAAGTGACCAATGACGAGCTCTGGAGTCTAGACCTCGATTTCATTGAGGAGAGGAGGGATGACTCCCAGCTGAGGCTAGGCACCTACCAAAGGAAGATGACAAGGTACTTCAACTCCAAAGTCAAGAAGAGGTCTTTCCGAATCAACGATCTCGTGCTCAGGAGGGTCTTTCCATCTTCAAAAGAACCCGGTTCCGGCTCCCTGGGACCGAACTGGGAAGGTCCATACAAGATCAGAGAAGAAATCCGACCTGGAACCTACTGGATTGAAGACATGGACGGCAAGGCACAACCCCGTCCATGGAACATTGAACACCTCAGAATCTTTTATCAGTGAATTGTATCAAGCTGGATGACTTTCCCAGCCTTTGTAATATTGCTATGGCTCAATAATATGCGTTGATTAAATCGTCATACTACGTCGTAATATTTCCCAGCCTTACCGAGGCTCTAGCACATGTCTCCCTTTTTGGGCTTGCTGAACGCCAAGGGGAGAAGTCTCAACATGGCTGCACCATCCACCATGTCTGGGATGCGTCGTAACCTCGGAGGAGAGGCTCGGGACCCACCACTGGGCCGCCTCGCTTGAACTCCGAGGCTCTAGCACATGCCTCCCTTTTGGCCTTGCTGAATGCCAAGGGGAGAAGCCTCAACATGGCTACACCATCCACCATGTCTGGGATGCGTCGTAACCTCGAAGGAGAGGCTCGGGACCCACCACTGGGCCGCCTCGCTTGAACTCCGAGGCTCTAGCACATGCCTCCCTTTTGGCCTTGCTGAATGCCAAGGGGAGAAGCCTCAACATGGCTACACCATCCACCATGTCTGGGATGCGTCGTAACCTCGAAGGAGAGGCTCGGGACCCACCACTGGGCCGCCTCGCTTGAACTCCGAGGCTCTAGCACATGCCTCCCTTTTGGCCTTGCTGAATGCCAAGGGGAGAAGCCTCAACATGGCTGCACCATCCACCATGTCTGGGATGCGTCGTAACCTCGGAGGAGAGGCTCGAGACCCACTACTGGGCCACCTTGCTTGAACTCCGAGACTCTAGCACATGCCTCCCTTTTTGGCCTTGTTGAACGCTAAGGGGAGAAGCCTCAACATGTCTGCACCATCCACCATGTCTGGGATGCGTCGTAAACTCGGAGGAGAGGCTCGGGACCCACTACTGGGTCACCTCGCTTGAACTCCGAGGCTCTAGCACATGCCTCCCTTTTTGGCCTTGCTGAACGCCAAGGGGAGAAGCGTCAACATGGCTGCACCATCCACCATGTCTCAGATGCGTCGTAACCTCGGAGGAGAGGCTCGGGACCCACTACTGGGCCACCTCGCTTGAACTCCGAGGCTCTAGCACATGCCTCCCTTTTTGGCCTTGCTGAACGCCAATGGGAGAAGCCTCAACATGGCTGCACTATCCACCATGTTTGGGATGCATCGTAACCTCGGAGGAGAGGCTCGGGACCCACCACTGGGCCACCTCGCTTGAACTCCGAGGCTCCAGCACATGCCTCCCTTTTGCTTGCTAAACGCCGAGGGGAGAAGCCGCAACCTG